TGACTTTTCAGTTTGAGTTGAAATTGAGAGTATTTCTTCTGATAGGCCTATATTTAGCTTGGGGCTTATCACCTACCCCAGTTTTATAGATCACCACGAAAGGGTACACACTTCGAAACGTAGACACCCCAAGGTATTGCATGTGGAGTGCTTTGATGCAACTTTTTTTTTTTTTTAGCCAGACCAAAAAAATTAATAAATAAACAAAATAAAACAGTTGAAGAACGCGTGTGGAGGTAACTGTTCAATCCTCATTTTCACACAAACACACACTGCTTTTTGACTGTGATTTAGGAGAGCCTGCTGTTGGTTATTGCAAGAACACACCCCAGGTGGTTTTCTGCAAGGCTTCTCCTTAGGACACCCATGCCCCCCATGCATAGACGCGTCAGACTCTAGCGCAAGGGTGGCATATGACTGCTCAGCGCTGGTTGACTTCCGTGACCCATGTGACATGATCACAATCACTTTACTTAGTGACCTGTCACAAAAAAAAAAAAAATAACCCCTAAAAAAAATGAACAGACAGCAAAATAAGTGCTGCTGTGCAAGAGCCTGTGATCTGTGTAGTGATCACAGGCAGGATAGGGGTTAATCGCTCTGAAAAGAGCTTTTGGGTCTAAAAAAAAATAAAAAATCACAAAAAATGAACCCCTAAAAAAAATATGCACAAACAGCAGAAAATTACTGCTGTGCAAAAGCCAGTGATTATAGTGATCACTGGCAACACAGGGGTTAATGGAGCCTTTGGGAAAAGAGCCTTTGGGTCTCAAAAGTTTACAAATCCCTACCTATAAACACCTAAATCTCTCTTGCTAAACCACAGATCTCTCTCCTTCTCTCACTAAGACACAAGTGAAGAGAGGGAGGCAGATCCACACTAATCAGAGAAATGGGGAACACACTTGAGATGAAATTGCTAATGGTGCAAGCTGTGATTGGATGACCCCAGCCTGCCCCTTATGATGCGGCATGCTAGGGACACCCCCAGAAGCCCCACGATTCACTGCCTTTAGAAAGGGATGGGAGGGGGGGGGTTAATATTGATAATTTTATTTATTTTCTATTTATTTTTTTAATATATATTATTATATATGCACTGAGTGCCAGGACCCCTCGAGGCACTCCGCACATGCAGAGCATCACTGCAATACTATCAGAGCTTCCAGAGCTCAAAATAGCTGCGGAAGTACCAGGTACATCCAAAGTCATTATGGAACGTTTCTGCCAGACGTACCAGATACTAATTCAGCTGGCGCGCACTACAATCAGATAAAACAGTGTCTTTATACTTTCTGAAGATGCGTTTTAACCAATCGAAGTCTATGCACGTTCTCCAACTCTGAGTTTCTTTATCTCAGCCTCGCAGGTCTTGGGTGGCTGAATTAGCATTTGAGAGTTAACTTTTTGCACGCATACAGAATAAATGAACAAAGCAGAAAAACTTTTGTTTGATGTGGCTTGTAAGCATCAATTTGATATTAAGCACAGGGCAAGATAGAAACATAGAAACATAGAATGTGTCGGCAGATAAGAACCATTCGGCCCATCTAGTCTGCCCAATTTTCTAAATACTTTAATTAGTCCCTAGCCTTATCTTATAGTTAGGATAGCCTTATGCCTATCCCACGCATGCTTAAACTCCTTTACTGTGTTAACCTCTACCACTTCAGCTGGAAGGCTATTCCATGCATCCACTACCCTCTCAGTAAAGTAATACTTCCTGATATTATTTTTAAACCTTTGTCCCTCTAATTTAAGACTATGTCCTCTTGTTGTGGTAGTTTTTCTTCTTTTAAATATAGTCTCCTCCTTTACTGTGTTGATTCCCTTTATATATTTAAATGTTTCTATCATATCCCCCCTGTCTCGTCTTTCCTCCAAGCTATACATGTTAAGATCCTTTAACCTTTCCTGGTAAGTTTTATCCCGCAATCCATGAACCAGTTTAGTAGCCCTTCTCTGAACCCTCTCTAAGGTATCAATATCCTTCTGAAGATACGGTCTCCAGTACTGTGTACAATACTCCAAGTGAGGTCTCACCAGTGTTCTGTACAATGGCATGAGCACTTCCCTCTTTCTACTGCTAATACCTCTCCCTATACAACCAAGCATTCTGCTAGCATTTCCTGCTGCTCTATTACATTGTCTGCCTACCTTTAAGTCATCAGAAATAATCACCCCTAAATCCCTTTCCTCATATGTTGAGGTTAGAACTCTATCAAATATTCTGTACTCTGCCCTTGGGTTTTTACGTCCAAGATGCATTATCTTGCACTTATCCACATTAAATGTCAGTTGCCACAATTCTGACCATTTTTCTAGTTTACCTAAATCATTTGTCATTTGGCTTATCCCTCCTGGAACATCAACCCTGTTACATATCTTAGTATCATCAGCAAAAAGACATACCTTACCATCAAGACCTTCTGCAATTACTAACAATTTCCAGGCAATTAAGCACAGCAAAATCAATCCTATCACCACCGCTATGGGTTTTAAGAAATATGAAAGCATATTGTTAAACCAAACACCAATAAATCCCATCCAGGAGAAGGGGTTCCATCCTTTTTTAGATATATATCTAGCTTGTTGTTGCAACTTGTAATGGACCGTTTTGCACACCTGGGGTTAAAACCGTTTAGGCAATATTCCCCTTTTCAGATGCACAGGCACAGCTACCGCAGAACACCAAACTCACGAACCGCATATAAGGGAATGCTCCAAACTCCTGAACTGGAACCTCACGAATAGCTGCTAGCAGACGAGTAGGAAAAACATCCAAGTGGCTTACACTCCTAGCAATCAGTCTCTAACAGCATACCGTAAATCCCCCCAAGAACGAGACAGAGCTCCATGTTGAGGGTCAAGCAGTGGTCCAATCATTTGTGTGTTAGTTCGGTAGATTGAATCTACCGAACACCAGGCAGAAAGGCACGAATAAGCCTTTTCTGCAGGGGAAAAGAAGTCTTGTAACATGGGGCCGTAATCCAAAGGCAACAGGCGAGCAACCAGGCTTCTCCAATACAATGTGGCGAGATTGGTCTTGTCACATCTCTCCCCTTTTCCAAACAGACTAACAGGGTATCTGACCTCCTGCCGGTCAGTGCCCTTGCTAGTCCAGCAGCCCACCCACAACACACAAACAGTAATACAGCCCACTCACAATAAATGGTTACTACACCTGGGTAGAGGAGAACTTTGTCCATGTACAGGTGCCTCACCACGGCTGTGTGTGTGACTGGTAAGCTGACTTGGTGGGTTGCTGAGTGGGCAGAGACCAGCGATACTCTGACCTGGTGCCAGCGCTACCACGGGAGTAGCCTGGTTGTTGGAGGGGGAGACCGACTGTCTCCCCTTTGGTTACACCGCTCGGCTGCTGGAGGGGGGGACCGACTGTCTCCCCCTTTGATACACAGCTCTGCTGCTGGAGGGGGAAACCGACTGTCTCCCCTTTGGCTAAACAACCCTGTCGCTGGGGGGCAGAACCGACTGTCCCTACCCCCTGTGCTGTAAGTGCAGAGACCATGGTCCAATCTGCACGGTTGTGGGGTTTACTGTCCCCCCCTGGTACGTTAAGCTGCCGCTGGGGAGACGGGGTAACAAGCTCCTCTCCCATATATACTTCCAGCCGCATGGGAGGGAAACCGACTGTCTCTGCTCCCAATACAGAGTCCTGCTGCTGGGGAAAGGAGACTGGGCTCTCTATTCCCTGTAGGAGACTCTGCCGCTGGGGAATGGAGACTGGGCTCCCAATTCCCTGCTGTATCTCCCGCTGGGGAATGGAGAATGGGCTCCCAATTCCCAATAACTCATACTGCCACTAGGGAATGGAGACTGGGCTCCCAATTCCCTGTAATTCACACTGCTGCTGGGGATCTGAGCCGACTGCCCAGCATCCCTGTAGCTCACCCTGCCACTGGGGAGGGAGGACACTGCTCTCCTCTCCTTGCAAGGCACACTGTCGCTGGGGGACAGGACTAACTATTTCTGTCCCCTGTAACTCAGCCTGCCGCTGGGGAATGGAGCTTGGGCTCCCAATTCCCTGCAATATCTCCCACTGGGGAATTGAGACTGGGCTCCCAATTCCCTGCAGGACTGGTGGAGAGACCTCGGTCCCATCTCCACCAGCAACCTGGGGTTCCTCCCAGTAACATTCTGCAATATCTGCCCAGCTGAATGGGTCTGGATCTGGGTCTCCGCTTCCCTGCTGAGCCGTCTCACTGGAGTGGAACAGATCTTGGTAGCCCTGCTCCATCTCTCAGGTCACTAGGTGGACCAGGTCTTGCTCAATCTCATGAGTGTCGTCCCAGTCATACCTGCTCTCCCTCCACTCCAAGAGATCACTGAACCAAGTTTGTGTAGAGCTCCCGAACTCAGGCTCTGAAAAAGCCTCCCATAACAAACCAGTACCATCAAACTCCTCTCCATCTGGCTTGTCATGCTCGGCTGTCCAGGGCAGGTACTGTGACCCATACCACCAGATCGCCTGGTAGGCATCTTCCAGCCAAATCTCCTGCCATACCCGGAGCTCCAATTCCTTCACCCATTCCTCCAGGGGCTGCTCTCTTAGGAAGGGCATCCGCAGGGCTAGTTGCTTCTGCAATCGCTGGTCTTCCTTGGGGAGTCTCTCGCCCCGCTGGTACTCCACAATGCCCAGTGCCTGGTACCAGATGCCTTTGTGAACTGCATCTCGGTCATCCATGACACCCTCATCGTACTCCACTGCTGGTTCCATCCTGATGCTGTCAGGGTCGCTGTACTCAGACATGCGTTGCCCTCAAATTGTAAAATCCAAAGAAATGGTGTCTCCTCTAGCTGTCCTTCTGGCTGTAGGA